TGTTTTTAAAAAAATAAAAGCTTTATGTAAGTCGGGGGAGAGGGGGGGGGGGTGGAAAGCTATGACCTCTGAGCTGTGCAGCCAGCAGAGCTAAGCCAAGAGGTCATATAGGATCCTAAATCCTGCTGCTATGTCTGTACAGCAGCTTGGAAACTTTAGGAAAAAGCCACAAGACACAAAGCTTTGCAAGTCTGCATGTATGATCTGTTTCTAACTTTCATTTTCAAAGTGTTTACGCTTTCCTTTAACTATTTGAGTGCTGGCCTATATATACCCGTTTATTACCAGGACATTTTCAGTTTTCAGTGCTGTGATAGTTTGACTAACAATTATTTGGTCATGCAACACAGTACTCAAATGAATTTTACCCAAACGAGACAGAGTTTTCTTTTGGTGGTATTTAATAACCACTGGGTTTGTTTGTTTACTATATAAAGGAAAAAAAAACCCTGAAGTATCACATTTGTTGATGTCCCGAAATTACCCTAAAATTGTTCCGTAATCACATAAGGCAGGTGTCAAAATTTCAAGTCCTGAGCTACTAGCCAGGCCAAGAGTTACTCGCCACCAGTTGCCCACCTAACCCCTACCCTCCCGCGGCCTTAACTCCGCCCCTAAACACACCCTCTTAAATAATCTTATCAATGAGACTGTCACATGTTTTATGCAGAATAAGGTTACCAGAATAAATATTAACAACTTTAACAATATTACCATAAAGCTTCCTGCCCCCACATATAAAATAATACACCCCCCCTGTTCCCTGCCCCCCACACATAACATAATAACCCCCCTGTTCCCTGCCCCCCCAAAGTCATGTGACAGTTTTGCTAAAACAATATCGACTACTGATTTCAGGACAGTGGTGGAGCCCCAGAACCAGGTCCCAGATGCAACCGCTGCAACCCTGGTAGTTCTCATGAAAATGCCAAGAATCGGCACTGGTATCTGAACTGGTATTGGTGCATCCCTAACCCTAACTATTAACAAAAATGTAACATTTTTGTGTATCACTCGGCTGTAGATCCTCAAATCATCTTTTGTTCTCCATGGTCCCTGTATGTGTTGTAACGTAACCACGGCTCCAAGCTCACTCCCGTGATATACTATAACTTCAATACCAATTAATAAATAAAATGTGAGATTGCAGTCCATCATGGGAGCGATCTTGGAGCGGTGTCTACTTTACAACACACCCAGGGACCATGGGGTGTGGCCACCCTGCAGAAGGAAGGACAGCGTCAGCACCAATTCAGAGATGATTTGAGGATCTAATTGAAAAGTGATACGTAAAAAAGTTAAATTTTTGTTAATAGGGTACTTGAATGTATTTTTCTGATTTAATTCCTGAGTTTAGTATAACTTTAAATGTGTGAATTGTACATTCTAAATATTATGTTATGTCTATGATACATATTGATTTAGCAAACTAAATGGCATTCAGTTAGGTTTTTAAATACTCTACTAAACTACCATGTATGAAGAGGGCATCTGACTTTTCTGAACTGCATTCTAGTTATAGGTCAGGGACTCAAAATATTGATGACAGTAAGAAAACATAACAGCAAGCCATCTGCCATTTTCAGAAGGAAGTCAGCAAATTCTTTGATCCGTAAAAAAATTAAAATACTAAAAAACATCAATAACACTAAATGAAGTAACTGTGAAAGAAATGTGAGTGAATTATTGTATTGTATATTGTAACACGTGTTCTCCCTTCTTTGGCAGCTCTTTCCCGCTTACTTCTTACATGATATTTACTGGCACAGTTGATCTAAACCAAATCCGCAGCCGTTCTGGTGTTTCGGCTATTATAAGACACGAGAACTATAATGCAGATTCTGATGATTATGATGTAGCGCTGATAAAACTGAAAAACCCTTTTAGCTATTCAGGTAAAGACAATACAAGTATATGACATGCCTAAAACATTTATACTACAACAACAGCTGTCAAATGCCAGGGTGCTACTGCCCAATGAAGTTCTGGCACATGATCCTAGAATACAGGTGTAAGGCTTATAACCAGGAGGGGTGAGACTTAGGGGCCAATTGAAAAAGCATGGTATGGTTACGGCCATACTGGTGTTTAATAAAAAACAAAAACTTTAAAAAAACACAGTATTGCGTATTTATAAACACAGTAATAAATATGAATGTCAGGAGAACCCAGTTTCGTGAGCTGTAAGAGTCACATTACGTGAAGAGTCACATGACCAAATTTAGTTTATCTGCTGCATTAAGCAGAGAACACAACAGGGGGTTCTGCTAACTCCACAACGCAAACTGCATTTTATGAATGGGCCTTAAAATGCGGACCGTATATAGTAATTTGATGTACAGTATAACAGAGAATGGATAGCAATATCTGTTCTGTCCATAGACTTGACTAGGACAGAAGTCAATGCACCATACAAGATCTGAAATGCAAGGGTCTCTAGATGGATACCGTAGAAAAATTTTAGGCCAAAAATAAGGTTTACATTAATGTGGACCTTCACCCTAATATTTTAAATGATAACAAAGGCATCTTTAGAAATGTTAAGTATTGGCAATCTACAAACAGATACTTATAGAGAATTGCATACTTTTTATTCTTTACATACCTTTTTTTTCCCCTCCCCATTCTCCATTCAGTAGCCATTTTACTAAGGGCAAAATAATCAATCTCCCTCTTCTTACTGTGACTAGGACATGTGTCCATGCACATTCTCTTACGAGATCTCACAAGATTTTATACCTTATAGATGAATTCCCAGCAATGCACTGTGATGTAGCCTTCACAGGATGGATATCTTAGTCATAGGCTACATCAGCATTCCTCAACCTTTTTTTTTAGCCAAGGCACCCTTTAAAGGTATACAAAATCTTGAGGCACTCTGTTCTAAAATATCATTGATTGTAAGATGGACCCCACACAAGAACACACAAAAACATGGGTTTCCCCCTCTACATCAAAGTGCCCCCTACAAATCAAGATCCCACCCTTATCTTCAGAGTCACCCTTTGCATCAGCAGGCCCTCTTTCTTAGGAGCCCCCTTCACATAATTCCCCTCCCCTTCAAATCAAAGTCCCACTGCCACAACATTTTGAGGTAACCCTGAGGAAGCCAGAACAGGAGGCACACCAGGGTGTTACGGCACCCTAGTTGAGAAACGCTGGACTGCATCACTGATGCCTAAGAGGACCAGGAAGTGGAAAAACAATAATTATAAGTACAAGAAAAATATTTTTATTTAACTAATGAATGTAAGATGATTTCATATCAGCATGCAGAGCTGCATTCTAAAGTGATTTTTGGTAAAAGAGGGTAAAAGGTTCACTTTAAAAACATATAGCACTCTCTGTACCCCTCAACCATAAACACACAAATAAGTCGGATCTATATACAAAACAGTTATTTCAGTATAAAGTATAATACTGTCAGAAATTGCATTGTTGATTCCACTTTATCTAAATGTATACACACATATATAACTGAAAACCACATATGAAACACAAATATTGGTAAAACATATAATAAATAAAGGGATTTTCAACTGTTTAAAATCCAGGATGAGTATTAACAAAGGTATACATGTAAAAAAATAATTTAATAAAGAACGTTTAATAACATAAAAAAATGTTTCAATAGAAATAATAGCCATTCAGATGGAGATGAATAGGGCAATCCAGACACAGAAAGAACAGATCATGTGCACATTGCTGCTTAGAAATGATCATTATAAAAAAGTTATATTGTAAATATTCAGGTTAGCAACATCTTCCATCATCCCCATGCTGGATTTCCAGAGTAAGTATCAGCCTTGTTACAGTTAAGATGTGCAGCCTGAGGCTAGATTCACACCGCACGACACCCAGGACACAGCGCTCGGCTATTTTAACCGCAAGGCGGGAAACTGGGGTGCCATTAGAAAATAATGGCACCCACAGCGTGATCGGTTCACACTTTGGTGACTCCTGACCGTGCGGCAATCCGCATGGAATCATACACAATTGCCGCACGGTGAGATGTCGCCTAGGTGTGAACCTAGCCTCAAGCTTTCTCCTTGTGGAAACCATCTGCCTAAAGAGAACCTGTCATGACTTGGTTTAGGTAGTAGTCTGACTCTTTGATCTCTAACTAAAGGTCTATGTCATTTGGTCTGTGTTACTAGTAAGCGGCTGATTTTAGCTGTATGTGTATCTTGTAGTAGAACATGTTTACTTCTCAAGGGAATGTTCACTTAGCTTAGTGAATGTGAGGAAGCTGTGCCGAGTATAATTATCCAATCACGTGCAAGCAAAATCTCTGTTTGTTTTTCTTTTTTCTTGCACGTGATTGGGTATTCTTCGCAAAGACAATTTTCACCATATTCACTACTAAGCTAAGTTTAAATTCCTCTTTGAAGTGAAAGTCCCTTGCAAAGTGAACCTGCTTTACTTTGCAAGTGTGGTGACGATCTTGGTATAGCAGCAGCAGCCATGATCTTGGTATAAACACTTCAAGACCAGGACATACAGGCACGCCCTATGGTCCTGAAGTGGTTGAAGAGGAACTTTACCCATATCTTCAAAATAACAACAAAGGCACCTTTAGAAATGTTTGGTAATGACAATCTACAAACACATACTTCTAGATAATTGCAGGATTTTAATATTTTGCATGCCTTATTTTTCTTTTCTTCCCCAGTCTTCTGACAGTGGCCATTTTAACTACTCGCCGAACAGCATCGAGTGACTAGCCGAATGCCGCCAAGCGGAATTTGGCTCGGCTATTCTGCTCGGTACCTCTATGGTACCGAGCAGCATAGAAAAACAGTCAGAAAAAGTAGGGGGGAAAAGTAGAAAATGATTGGGCGGAGCTAGCAGTGACAGCTAGCTCCGCCCAACCGTTTACTATTGGCCGGGACCTGCTGTCATTACAACCAGGGGACGCTGAACTGTCATGAGAGTTGAGCGGAGCTGAGCGGAGCTGAGCGGAGCTGACCTTGATATCACGAAAACATTGATATGTAAATGATGTGAAAAGTAACACTTATGACCAACTGAACCGATGAATAATATAAGCGAATAATAGGAACTGTAACCAAAGCACGTATAATTCTACACAATAGCTTCCTTGTGTGCCACCACTCCTCATCCCAACACCATGACATGTCACGGCCAACTCCGCTGAGCTTTCATGACAGTTCAGGGGAACCGGCCGTGATATCAAGGCCGGCTCCGCTGAGCTCTCATGACAGTTCTGCGTCCCCTGGTTACCAGGTAAGCAGGGGACACTGAACTGTCATTACAATGAGAGCTCAGCAGAGCCGTCCGTGATATCAAGGCCAGCTCCGCTGAGCTCTCATTGTAACGACATTTCAGCGTCCCCTGGTTACCCGGTAACCAGGGGACACTGATCTGTCATTGCAAGTGCCTGGAGCCAGCCGTGAGATGACGTCTGGCTTCACCCAGCTGTCAGTAGCAGGCTTTTGGCCAGCTTCGACTTTCACCTCGGCTCGGTTGAGCCGGAACATATGACTCCCGCTCGACTGAGCCGCTCGGCCAACTTCGAGAGCTGTACGGCCTATAGTTAATAGCCCGTACAGCAGCCCTTGGTTCTACTGAACCGAAGGGCTCAGGCGGCCGAAGCTAGCCGATGGATCAGGCGGAGCTACGACTGATCCTTCGGCTAGATTTGTGAATAACTACCACAGATTTGCTAAAAGTAGTGCAGTTATTGTGTGATTTTTAATTAAAGTGGCCGGATGTTTTATTGTTTTAAGTGAAGAGTTTAAAGTCACAGACATCCTGGTAGCCACCATTTTTAGTAGGAGGTTAGCAGTTGCAGCCTCCGCTTTTCTTGCATAACATGGTGACTGTAATTAAAATATTGTTTTATATTTGGTTACATTTTGAAAGCCGCTTTGCTGTATTATTATCTCAATGAAAACCTTAAACAAGCACTCTGAGTGCTAAAAAGACAAAAGGCACCTTATCTATACATGAAACCACCCTGTAGGATTAGTCATAAATGTAAGCATTAACATTTTTAGCCTATATAATACTACTAGAGATTCATGGAAGTAATGAGAATCCTAAACACCCATTGTAAAACAGATGTAGAGATTCACTTTGCTAATGCACAGCTGCTGCCATATCATGAATGAAAGGCTAATAATTATCACTCTGTATACTGCATGTAATTTTGTTCTGTGCAGTAAAACCAATCCTGGTAATTATTTCAAAATGATGTAACACGAGAGCCATAAATATGCAGATCATGAGCAAATACTAAGATACTGAAACTCATGCGTCACAGTTATTCTTTAAAGGATATCTGAACCCCAAACCAGAAATGTATATATACATCAGGCTTCCAGTCCTTAGATGTGGTGGCTGCATATGTTTTCTTTTTATAGGCTAAGTACATTTTCTGCAAGCACAGACAAATTCCTGCTGATCTTCCTATAAATATTCGGGTACATTTATGAGCACACGTGCATGCTTTTTAAACCTATCGCATCTCCCATTCCTATGCATACCTGTTGCACCAACAGAAAGTGTGGTGCACTATTTTTACAGCTCTGCGACTCCTTTCTGTTTGCGACCAAAGTGAAAATAGAGCGCTATTATGAGCACCATTATTGAAGTTGCTGAAGGTCTGTTTGAGAATTAAATATCTGCCATTCAGTTGCAAATCTTGCAAGTTGTCGAGCACTGACTGATATACCGTTGTGATCTGATCTGGTCCCCACCATAATAAATCCCCTCTCAGCTGTGTCCCCTGCTGATAAAACATTCCTCTCTTTAATTGCATATACATCGGCTTCATGAGTTGCTCTCTGATATAAAGTAGATGAGGGTTTTTTTTTAAATAAATAATTATGCAAATATATATGATGGCTGAGACAGCACACTTGTGTGTCACAAAATAGCAACAATATTATTTTGCAACTGATCCCGGAATGGAAGAAGCACTTAAATAGTACATGAGTCGCAAATCACAATTCACTTCTACATTGCAACCAAATAATGAATACAATGGATGCACTCATATTGGTAAATGTCTCCCAGTGTGCTCTTATAAGTTCTTTGGCACTGAACTGAAATCTCATACAACGATATCAGCTTTCTACGCTATTTTTTGTGCACTACAAAACAACCCTGCTCTATGTAATGGAGGTAAGGAGAGGGGAGGTGTTTGTAATCCAAATCAGGAAGACAGCCTAGAGTGACATTGCTGCTCCTTCATAGATACACTACCATAGTGTTGTCACACTAGGATAGCAAGTGTGTTACTGACAGGATCACTGGGTAAAAATGAAGGGGGAAAATAAAACTAATGCAGCCACTACATCTAAGGATTGGTAAGCTGCAATATATAAAAATCTTTGGATTTAAACATGCTTTAAAGTGGCACTAAACTATTAACATAAAATATACCTCATTGGTGTATCACTCGGCTGCAGATCCTTAAATCCTCTCTGAATTCATGCTGACACTGTCCTTCCTTCTGGGGGGTGGCTACTTTTGTTCCCCATGGTCCTTGTGTGTGTTGTAAAGTAGTCATTTTTAAGATTTAACTCCTAAGTTTAGCGTCACTTTAAGTGTTAGGAATCAGGTTGGGGAGGAAGGTCTCTTTAGCAGTAAGGTATATCCAAGAACTGCTGTGCCTAAACCCATCATACCAACAGGAAGAATATGGCATATTTCTTTTAGATTGTAAGCTCTTAGGAGCATGGCCCTTCTAAACATCTTTTTGTGAATTGTATTGTAACTGAATTGTCTTACTTTATATTGTAAAGCGCTGCACAAACTGTTGGCGTTTTATAAATGTGAAAATTATTATTATTATGTTAAAAAACTAAATCTGAAGTTAAAAATCAGTGTGCAAATAATGATTATTGAAACACAGTAATTCATATCAAAGATTCTCAAGCCTGGGGAAGCTCTTACTGTTTGGATAAACTCAAAATAGCAGATGAACATGTAAATGCTGTTTTAGATAACAGAATTTGTATATTATCTTGAACTTTAGAAAACATACATGCTACCAGAACAATAGCGTGAGACGATTTAGGGAACATTTGGGATAACAGATATATGCAACAGGGTATCTACTTTTGCTTTAAAATGACAACTAAATACCTATGGAGCGAGCTGTAAGAGCATCAGAAGTCCAGAAGTGGTTCTGGTGCTAGTGCCAGCAAGGGCCCACAGCACCAGAACCACTACCTGAGACCGGCTACCTTTTTAAAACAACTCTAGTAGTTAACCAGGAGTATAGTTACTAAATACTTTCAAAAACAACAGTAAGAATCAAACTAATTGTATCTAGGTTATGCATTTGTGGTTTTGCCATTTTTATATGCAAAAACATAAATATGATCAAATTCCTATGATCTTTTTCTGCCATTTTGTTCCTAGCTATCCTTATGTAAGGTAAAACCAGGCTATCGACATCATTATCAATGTCATCCTGGTACCTCATAGGACTGGTGATGACAATGATTATGACAGTTTGGCAAATGAGGTATGGGGACATATTGGGCAATCTATTGGACTCTGTAATCATATAAAGATTTTTAAAAAAACCTGTTTCAACCCACCCCAACTCCTGCATTGATTATCACTGATCAACTCAGCTCAATGCCCTTGGTGTGAACGAGCACTAAGCTATATTCTCTGACAGCAGTCTTAACCATTCCCCCCCTCTTTCCAAAACTAGATTATCCCAGAATGGCTTTATACATGTTTGCATTTTTGCACTGTTTCATAACAGCATTTATTTTGAATTTTCTTATTTAGTTAGTTGTTTATACTTTCTGCACTTTTTCTTTTTATTCTAGCTTCCATCCAGCCTGCCTGTCTTCCAATGATTAACCAAAACTTTAACCCCAACACCAAATGCTGGATCAGTGGATTTGGTAAAACCGTTGCTGCATCTGGTGAGTAGAAGACATTTCCTAGTACTATAATAGCAATTAATAGTGACATAAGACAGATCTTATGGTGGTAACTTGGTTGTCCTATGACAAGTAATACTCATCTCTTCTTGCAGAGGACACTTCCAATCTACTGATGAAAGCTGAAGTGAGCATCATCTCCACCTCAATCTGCAACAGTGCTTCTGTGTATAATGGAGCCATCAGTCAACGAATGATGTGTGCTGGAGATCTGAGAGGAGGGACGGATTCTTGCCAGGTGTGTATTTCTGTTACCACATGTTGGACCACTCTCAAACAAGGTGGAATACTAGGCAGTGATTCTACAACTTATTTTTAAAGCTGAATGAATAATAGTGTGACGCCATGTAGATGTAGAACAGTTGGTGTGGCAAAGTCTGAAGTAAAGAAATGTCAGCAGGATCCATCCTACAATGAGGGAAACTCAAGTCTTTATCTTGGAAACAGCAAAGTATTTAGCAATCTATTCGACTATGGCCCTTACTGGAAATCACTGCTGTAGCTGTAAAGCTCCATTCACACCATTGCGTTGGAACTGTTCCAAAATGCTTGTTCACAGCTAACCAAAGCTGCATGGAAAACAGTTTCCATCATAATCGCTAAAGCTCATGTTAATTTGTGATGTATAGTGTGGTGCATTATTGAAAAATCCTGCTTGCCGCATTTTGTTCTGCTTTTGTCCTTCAACATTACAAAGCAAATCTAATTGAATGTGGCTGACTACTAGTAACACACTGGTATGTCTTTAGTCTTGTGTGGGACCATTGCCACATATACAGGACTTACTATAGTTTTCTGCTTAAAAATCTTTTAAGGAAAATATTCTTATTTTAAAGTGTCCATATAATTTTACAGATTTTGAACAAGCAGTGAAAGCATTTTAAAATGAGCACTCAATCACCTGAGTATTTATTGACTTTATAAGTTCACAATTAGGGATGCATATTTTTTTTTGGTACTCGCCGACACCGATACCGGAAGTCCCATTAAGGCAGACAGGTGGCGTGTAATGACTCGACACCTGGCTTCCTGATTAGCAAGGAAGCCATCTCCTTGCTCCCTCGTCACCAGATCTTGAGGAAGCATGGAGCCAGCTTTCTGGACAATCAGGAAAAATGGGGGCTTGTAATGAAGCCCGGCTTCCTGATTTGGCAGCTTTTTGACCAATCAGGAATCCAGGCAATGAGTCATTACAGTATTGAGTACGAGTACCAATATATTTTTTTCGTAAATTGCCCATACCGAATACCGGAAATCCCATTAAGCAAGCCAGGCGGCGCCACCCTTCTTCCTGAGTAGCCGGGAAGACATCTCCATGCTCCCTCATCACCAGGTGACAAGGGAGCATGATGTTGGCTTTCTGGCCAATCAGGAATAACTCGCTGTTGGGCTTCCTGATACCGGAAGCTCAGGTATCAGGCTAGGCATCGGAGCATTTGGGTGAGTACGAGTACTCACCCAAATACTCCGTATCGGCATTGATACTAGTATCGGTATCGGTGCATCCCTATTCACAAAACAGGCATTTAAATTCTAGCTTTTTTTTCTCTAGAGCAGATTCTGCCAGCCTGCTAGCCCTCTAATGTAAACAACCAGCAAATGATTCTAACAACTGAAACCTAACTCTAAAGCCATGGTGGCGGACCTGTGGCCCAATGGTCATTTAAATTTAAAGAAAAATATATTTTTTGACATCTGCACATGACATCAATTTTAGTTGTGCATTAAAGCTAGCACCTGCTTATTTTATTTGGTCTCATAAATGCTATAAAAACCTGACCCTGTAACTCACATGTAGAAGTACACTAATATCTGATATTGTTACAGGGGGACAGTGGAGGACCATTGGTGTGTTTGCAGGAGAACCGTTGGTATTTGGCTGGTGTGACAAGTTGGGGAACTGGCTGTGGGCAGCCCAATAAACCAGGAGTGTACACTCGTGTTACTGAAATTCTTTCCTGGGTATACAACAAGATGGAGGTAAGAACACTTATGAGGTTTTTAAGAGTAGGATGAAAGTGAAAGAGGCCTTAGAAATTTAGGCTACTCAACCAAAAGGCCCATTTACATTTCTGCGGTGCTGCCAACACACCAAAATGCCACCACAACTCACTATGGTGCACCACAATTCACTATGGTGCATTGCCATGCATTGTTACACTGCAATGCATGTGCACCGTCTTAGTGTGTTGGGTGCAATGCAAAATTAATGGCACCACAATGCAGCAATTAATGTGTGTTGCCACATTGTGGTAACAAGCGTTTTAATGTGTGCATTACCACAACACAAAAATGTAAATGTGCCGTAACTATAAATAAGAAAAATCTGTACAATTGGGGTTCAAGATAAATAGCCTGATCACGGAGGTGGCAATAAGAACAGTAGTACAATGATTGAATGTGCTGAGAGATGAAGTCATTATACTGTTTTAAAAGTATTATTATGACAGTCAAAATAGTTTAATTGATTAAATATTTATCTATTAGATGAGTTATTGTCATCTTTAGGTGAAATTGAGAGATTTATGTCCCCATTTCAGCATAATGCTTTGGAGTCAATCGCGAAGGTGAAATAAAGTTGGTGGTTTTTGTTGGTATTTAAGGTTGGAATGGACTTAAAATCGCTCCTAAGGCCCCTTCACATGGGCAGTGTCTGATTCGATCAGCAGGGAACCTATGCACAGATCCCTTGCTGATCGAAGCACCTAATTTTCTTGTTAGTTTTGATACAGCAGGGACTGGTTGGACCCCTTGGAGGATTTCATTACTCCAAACAAGACAATATGAGGGTGCAAAAACATTGAATAACAGAACGGGATCACAAACGACAATGCAGAACAGCCAACGTGTTTAGGGGACTCACAGACAATTGACCAAAGAACTCTGAGCTCCTGAAACATGTTGGCTGTTCTGTTTTTGTTGTTTGAGAACCCAGTCTTTTGATAGATGTTTTTGGACTCTTGTACTGTCTTGTTTGGCAATCTCATTGGACTTTATGTTTGTGTATCTTCAATTCCGGGTTCCCTGGTTTAAGGGAAATCCCATTTTTGTGGAGAGTCGTCACAGCGGAGCCATTGCGCTTTATCACATTCTGAAAGCCAAATTTTTACAGATGTCACAGAAAAATATGTGAAGACAAATCTTCCAAAGTTTACACCTGTTTTGGTGACAACTGTCTAAGAGGGAATATCTCCTCACTCAGGAGAAATTTCCTTGCCTTCCACCGAAAAAGAAAACAAAAACTAACAAGGGTTTGCACCATTGTCTACTCTTCTTTTTTCACCATTCTCTAACTTTTCTTAAAGTTTTTTCAGTCACGGTACCCTTTAAAAGTATCCCACCCCAGTCTGAAATGCCATAGATTTTAAGGAGGACCACACACAAAAACACACAAAAAAGTGGGTTTCCCCCTTCACAATAAAGTGCCCCATTCAAATCAAAACACCACGCCAC